GCTCCTGCAGTTTCAGCAGGGTGCTTTAGTGAGAAGGGAAATTAAAACATTCACAGTGGTACAAGATTATCAGCAGAAATCTTACCAACCTCTCGCTCCACATTAATGTAGAACTGCTTGATACCCTCAAGGGTAAGCTCTTCTTTCTTCACCAAGATGCGAACGGGATCTCGCATGAACTTCTTAGTTACCTCCAACACATCTGCTGGCATTGTGGCTGAGAGCAGGACCACCTGAAGAAGCAGCACTACATGTTACACCACCCCCCCAAAAAAAAAAAAAATCAACATAAAATTTGTTACAAGCGTATTAAAAGACAATGCCAATTGTGGCACTTGACCTTGAGATTGCAGCCAACGAACATTAAGAAAGAGGTTCGACCACATCTCATTTTCAGTCAAGTGCACAATAATCTGCTTCCACGTAAAAAATCTGCTATCATCATTGCATGAAACAGAAAATCTGGATCACACAATTATAGCAGACCTCTGTTGATGCAGAAGGGCATCTTATTTGTTCTCTGGTGTGCGTTGGTTTCTTACTTGAATGTTTGTGCTCAGTTTCTGGAAGATCTCATAGATCTGATCCTTGAAGCCGCGACTCAACATCTCATCGGCTTCATCCAGAACAAACATCTTGATCCATTTTGGAGCTGCAGAGAAATGTCATGTTTGTTAGCAAACAAATCATCAATCCGAGCTTCCAGTAAGCAGGACCTGTAATACTTACACAGGTGCTTCCTGTTCAGCATGTCGTACACACGTCCAGGTGTGCCCACCACTATGTGAGGGGCCTCGGCCTGGAGCTTCTGTATTTCACTACGGAGATTGGTCCCTCCAATGCAGGCATGGCAGGTTGCCCCCATGTAGTCACCCAAAGCCAGAATTACCTTCTGGATCTAAGAAGGGGAGATGGGACAGAAGAACTTGTTTAAGATAATGTGGCACAGAGAGCCAGACAAGACTCGCAAACTGCAGAAAAACTGTTTCAAGTGATCAGTAGAGTAAAAGAAACTCTCCATTTCAAGAGTCAGTCCCGAAAGATGGTATGCCATCACATCACTCAGTTTTTCACAGAAAAATTCGAAAGCATTTCACCTTTCAGACCAATGTAGCCACGGACAGAGACTACATTAGCTTAAGAAGATACTCGTCAAATCTTTTGGAATTTGAACAAATCTTTAAAAGATTGTACCTTAGGATCTGAATTAGTGTCCTCAGTACGCTGCTTAGGTCTGAGGTAGTGCTGAGGTTTATGGTGACCTCAGGAACAGCATACCTGCTGAGCCAGCTCTCTAGTCGGAGCCAAAACCAGAGCCTGAGTCTCCTTCTGCTCAATATCCAACTGCTGCAAGATAGAGATGGCAAATGTGGCTGTCTTGCCAGTTCCAGACTGGGCCTGAGCAATGACATCATAGCCTGACAGTAAGGGGAAAAAATTATTTTAGGTACATATATTTGTTTCTCAAAACAGAAACAGGCTAAACAACAAAATCATCCTTTGCAAGATTTGACTCATTAACTAATCATTTTACAGTATTGAGTGATCAGCATGAAACAAAGTTATCCCCATGTTTTGGGTAAGTCCCGAAAGATGGTAGACCATCATTTCACTCAAACATCTACAATCCTATTCTGAGTTTAAAAAGAAAAGTGTCTGTACCTTTGATGCAAGGGATGATGGCCCTCTGTTGAATGGCAGATGGTTTTTCAAAACCATATGCGTATATGCCCCTGAGAAGAGTCTCCTTCAGGTTCATATCATCAAAGTTGTCTGTAATCTCATTCCAGTTGCTCTGAATTTTGGGAAAGACAGTACATGGGTGAATTAGTACTTCAATGATCCAGTTACAGCCAAAAATATAGTGCCAGTGCTTGTATTTCGCCATACTACTTACCTCGATGACACCATCAGGCTCCATTCCATCTGGTCCCCCATGGTCTCTATCTCTTGAGCTGTTGGAAATGAAACACTCTTCAATTTTTACATAAAATGTGACTTTAAAAATAAACTGAACGCATACTACAGCGGTCGTTTCTTCCAGGCGTCATTTAATGTGAAGGCCTGCTGCCCACTCATCTCCAACAATAAGACCGCCTATTTCGCGCTCAGGGTGAGAAACTAAAACACAGAAATTACGTTAGATATGTAGTGAGATAGTCAATCGTAGCCTGGGTTACGCCCCAGCGATCTAGTTCCACAATCTGGAGGTTCACTGAGCGCACGTGTCAAATTGCACGAGCCGGGCTCCACTGCTAGTCCCTCATAAAATGGCCGCTTACGTAACCTCCAAAGATTTGAGGCTGGCTCCTTATACCCACTGTGGTCCCCAGTAACTCAAGATTAAAATTACATCTGTACACGTTGGATGTACCTCAACATGGAGCTCCGCTTCGCTCACCGTTAGCCAATATGTCGGACAGTTGGGCCTGTACTGCCAACGGTGGCTTCTTCTGAGGCCTACATACAGCCTGGACCGATGACTCTCAATTTGGATAATCCCCAGCCACAATAGTAAACAAAGGGTTCTACTAATCACTACAAAGTCCTGGTATACTTTGCGTATGACGTGGCCAAATATTAAACATTTAAAGCAGAATGCTTTTAAAAGCAGTTTGGAACTACGGTGTGTAACGGAGCAGCTAGCGTCACATAGCTAACAGTTAGCCCCAGCGGTTGGGGCCTAGTTAGCTATTTAATAACTAATTTTGCATAACACTAACTGCAAACCACTTTCTCAAGGTTAGACGCAGATAAATATTCAGCGTCGTTTTAAAAAAAACTCACCCAAACGTATTCTCTTACCTGTTGTAATCAGCAGAATCGCTAGACATGATCCGTTCCCAACTTCAGCATGCGAGTGGAAAGATCGCTGCTCGAGAATACAACTGCATTTATGGAGCCGGACTATTTTCACCGACAAACTCAGTGCCCAATTTGGCTGACAATAAAATATTAGTTGACTGACTTAATGTTTGAATCACATTTTATTTAACACACTACTTGTTGTGTTCAAATATGTCTTTAGATAAACAATAAAATGTTAAAATTGTTCCAGACTATATTCCTCGGCGGAAGGATATTGCAGTAATAGTGGGTGCTCGGGCTCGCTACCGTGTCTCTGATAGGTCAAAACTCGCTCTGACAAGTGTTGTGCAACATTTTTGGAGAGAAGGTTTGCATGAGGCCCATGCAAGCGGGGTTCAAGAAATAAAATGAAGTTTACTACCACACAGGCAGAGCTAACCGAGGCTTTGCTGTCCAAGTGTGATTATTAAATAACTTTTAATTGGCATAGAGTTTAAAAAGGGACAATGCTGCAGTTTCTGTGTCTTTGACACACTTGCTGTTCCATATTTATCAGTTATGTGTAGTGCTTGAGGCAGGTTTAAACAATTAAAGTACACAGTCACTTCCATATGTGGAGTGACAGATATAGAAGTGGTATCTTGCATATTGTAAGGAAAGCTGACTGGACAGGCAAACTTGTCATAACAATAACTGCTTTGGGGAAAGTGTGGGGAGAAATCTGGAGAAGGCTTCTTCTTGGCATATCATTCAGTAGATTTCTGCTACCTGCTGGACTTAAGCAACTGATAGTTTGTACGAACTAATTCTCTGTCAGTCTCTTGAGTTTCTTTATTCCAGAAATCAGAGACGTTACACAGAGGAGACACTCAAAGACTTATGAAAAAAGGACATTGGAAAGTACTGACAGCTAAGATTGGTTGTACTTATGTTAGGGTAAAAGTTAACAAGCCTTGATTTAAAAAAAAAAAAATCAGATTTGACTGGAGAGTCTATACATGCTGTTTTTATCTCCTGGTGACCTTTGAGATGAAAGTTCAGTTAGATAATGCTTCAATTAGTCTCCACTGAGTCAGAGACTTGCTTTGATAAAGTTACCCAGTTTAGCTGAGCTAACACAACCATTTTCTCCCTGTGTCACCTCTCTACTTTCCACGTTTCACCTTCTTGGAGAAGTTCCTGATTTACTTGGAAGACCTTGGACTCTACTCTGGTTTAGACAATGTTAACTAGATTATTATGAGATTATTATTATAATACATATTTAGAGGATTATTCTCTAAATATGAGAGAAGCATACAATAATAATCAATTGTGAGGCACACTCACGTGACTGGATATAATATCCCTGTTTACTTTAAAAAACAAATTTAGATTCTGTATATTTAAGCCTTCCCCTACAGCAAAGCTGTTTTAATGGCCAGGTTTTATTTGATCTCTGGTAGTCGTGCTTGCATTGTTAGAAAAAGAAAGAGCATATTTCTCCCATATCAGCTTCTCTTCATTGGCTACCTGTTAAATGTAGACTCACATTTAATATTCTTCTCCTTACATACAAGATCTTGAATAATCGGGTCCCATTTTATCTTCAAGACCTTATATCACCCTAACAGAGCACTTTGCTCTCAGACTTGTGGTTCCTGGGATATTTAGTAGAATAGGAGGCAGAGCCTTTAGCTTTAAGGCCCCTCTTCTGTGGAACGGGACAGACACGCTCTCTACTTTTTGATTAAGCTTATAGTAAGGGCTGGATAACTAACCCCAAACCTTCCCTTAGTTACACTTCACTGACTGTTTATTCTTCACACTCTCTATATGTTTATACATCACTTTGCATTTAATCAATAGTTATTTTTATGTTTGGCTCTCTCCCACAGTGTGTCTTTTGTCCTGTCTTCCTCCCCTCACGGCACATGGCCGCTCCTCCTTGAGCCTGGTTCTGCCTGAGGTTTCTTCCTGTTAAAAGGGAGTTTTCTGTCCCACTGTTGGGTCATTTGATTGTTGTTAAGCTTTTAGCTAAAACATTTGAGCAACTCTATGGACCATCCAGCAGTATCAGCGCACCACTCTTAAACCAGCACTTGTGATGACTTTTGACTCAGCCAATAAGAGGGAAACTTCATTCTTTCTTTTCTGCTAGAACCACAAACCACAAGTAAGTAGGGTACCATAATTCATATACTTAATATTAAGTGAAATTACTGTCTTATCAACAATGAAAAGGTTGTGGTACACATGTCAAATAAGATTACAAATACTTTATTCATCCACAAATGTTACAAAATTGCTCTGTTAAAGCAACCAACAACAAAAAGCTTTGCCTTTGTTCCAGTGTACAAAGGGAGCGGTTGGATTTTTCCTTTTTTTTTCTTTAATTAAATACAGTGGAGATATGGTTTGAATTTCACAGATGCAGGCTTTTGGAAACTATATTAATGCACAATGGTGTAGTAGTTAGAGAAGAGTTCCTCCCCTGCTGAAATGTCCCTGAGCGACACTAGCACAACACACCGCAGACGCCTCTGTGTACCCTGGCTGTAGTTGACGTTGGGGAGATACTGGCGGAGCTCAATGGGAAACTTGTCTGGCAGGTCGTACTCCTGGTAGCACACGTTGGCAGGCCTCTCGTAGGAGCAGTTGTTCACATATTGACCCACAGCCAGGGGGTTATGGGGAGTGTCTGTCAGCCAGCTTGTGTCGCTGATCAAATAAGGACCTATTCTGTCTCTTCCACTGCACGACTTGAACACCATCCTAGAGATGCCTTTGTCATTTCCATCAACCAGGATGCCATCAATGCATCTGAAAACAAAGGGGTTTCTGATGGACTGAAGAAGAATGGGCTCATAGGGTTGGTAAACAGTTCCGGGATACATTGCAACTGTTGCTCCTTTGGGTACAAATCCCTTGGTGACAAAGACTCCAGTTCCTGCGAAGGATAAAGTGCTAGGCTTCCGCTCAATGCAGAATCCCAGTGTCTGTAACATGGCATCCTGTCCGCACACCGGATCTCCTCCAACCTGCTCTGCTTCACTTGTTAGCTGCAGCATAAATGGAGTCTGGAACTGCCTCTGATGAAACCCATGTTTCCTGAACAGGGCTCTGAAGAGCGTCAGCAGGCTCCGTGAAACCTCCTCATCGGGGACTAGCTTATCTTTCGAGCGCTCAGTCACCTTCCGCAGTGTTTTCTCATTTTTAGACAGGTTGAAGACTACCCAAGGCACAAACCTGTGTCGGTAGGACTTCCATTTGTTCTGAAATCTTCGCAAAACAACTGTAAACATCCAGAGACTTGTTTGTATGTCGGACATTGAAGAACGAGGTTCTTTGGATGAATCGTCGAGTCGTTTCCGATAACTTGCTTCAAAATAAAAAAAACAAACACTTGTTGCTATTTCAAAACGTAGAACGAACTTTAAATTTGTTTTGCTTAAATATCTTTAGATATGTATTTTATGTTTGATAAGGAACAAAAATCGATAATTAACACTTCTGGAAGTTGTATAGGTTATAGGCTATAAATTGTATGCTCTTATTTTGAAGAGCTGTGATTCAACCGGAAAAACTTTTTACGCGACTTGTAAAAACTTTACGGGCACTAAGCCAGCTGGATGGGAGGAAGAGTAGCCCGGCAGTGACAAACATGGTATGAAATTACTCTTTTATTTTATTTTATTATTGTTTGTAGGGGCAAATATAACATGTACCCATTCACATAAACGTATAAAAACACATCTCTTCGGATTCATATCATAGTATTAAAACTGCTTTTAATACCTTAAATTCGCCTGAAATAATGAAAACAAACAGCCCCCTCTCCTTTAGCATTAGCTAAGTAGCTCACAGTGGGGCTAACCAACAAGCACAGTGAGCTAACTACGATTGCTATCATTTAAACACATAAAATGACAACTTTTAGATCGTTGTCGTGTGGAATGCGTAACTTTATCAGTAGTATTGATATTAAGACAAGGAAACCGCCAGTCAATACACTAGAAGTCGGTAAATGCAATCAGCATAGCATATCGCTGCTAGTTCCCTCTTACTGTGATTTAGATGTGTTTCGCCAGAGTTCACTGTAGCTAACAGCTAGCCTACCCTTTGTGGTTATTGAAGAGCGGCACGATTATTTCGTTCAGTACTGAGATAACGATTATTTATAATTTTTTCAATTACAGAATTGTTTTTATTGCAGTGCCACGTAAAGACACCGCCTTCATATCTTTGTACAAAATACAAAAGTCACCTGAATTTAGTGCGCCTCAGAGAAGGAAAAACGCTGTACCAAAACTTAATACAAACTTAAATCAGCAGTGCACTTCTTTCACATTTACATTGTGCTACATCCCTGTTAATTCAACTTTATAAATTAGTCTTTGCAGAGACATCAGGTCTTTATTCACCTGGCCCATGTGCATTGCCTATAAGCAAAATCTAAAGTTCCTCACTCCATTCAGTGTACCTGCATGATGGATGTGAATAAAACTCGAAGCAGTGTACTTCACATATGGGAGATCCTATCTCTAGCAGCATTGCCACTTTAGGAAAGTAAATAAAGGAGATAAATCTTTTGTTTGTCCTGTATGTTTACCCTTTACCTGAAGCCTTTACTACTCACTATGTTTAGTGGACAGAAATATTTGGCCAAATAGAATCTTGATTGGCTGTTGATGTCAGCGTGTCTTTGTGAGCTGCATGGATGTGCAGACTATATTACTGTTATAAGGTAACAGTTATAATTGAGACACACAGGCACGCGGTCAGGTGCTGATTTAGTGAGCATTTGATTTGCTTTTGCTCTGCGTTTTGTTGGTGAAGCACACATTTCAGTTTTTGCAAAGTCACATTCATTTAATTGTGGGAGGCTAAAATCGTACTTGAGATTAAAATGTGATTAATTGAGCAGCCCTAGGTTATTGTGTGAAAATTCAGATGGTACGCTTTGCAGTGTTATTGTAATCTCCCATTCTGTGCAAGTCGCACAGGGAATTAATACGTGAAAAAATTACTCCATATTGTTGTTGCTGCCTCATACCTTCAGCTATTTGTGTATTTTGGCTATTTGAGTATGTGCCCTGTGTGTTGTGTCTGTGCAGAACAAGCTGAAGTCCTCGCAGAAGGATAAAGTTCGCCAGTTCATGATTTTTACACAATCCAGTGAGAAGACTGCAGTGACCTGCCTGGCACAGAATGACTGGAAGCTAGATGTTGCCACAGATAAGTTTTTCCAAAGTCCAGAGCTCTACATTTCAAATCTAAAGGGGGCCTTAGACAAGAAGAAGCTTGAGCAGCTGTATAACAGATACAGAGGTATAGAAAAATCACCGCTATAATGTTTCCATTGGTTAGAAATTGTATACACAGCACAGGACTGAAATTAATACTCTGAATGGTTAATCAGTTAATTCATTTTTCTTGTTCTTAGATCCTCATGACGACAACAAAATAGGCATTGATGGGATCCAGCAATTCTGTGACGACTTGGGTTTGGACCCTGCCAGTATAAGCGTCCTTCTCATCGCCTGGAAGTTCAGGGCAGCAACGCAATGCGAGTTCTCGAAACAGGAGTTCATGGAAGGCATGACAGAACAGGGGTGAGAAAAACATTTTCAGATGGTAAAAGAAGAGGGGGGCAAACTGTGTTCCTATGTGTGATGTGCAACAATCATTCAAACACTGGTGTAACTTTAAGTAAGACTGATGGGGTGGATTGTTGTGCAAATGCACGTATTCATTTAAAAATGCTTATTTTGTGATTTTTATTTGGAGAAAGATGCAAACATATTTCCGAAATTGTTTGAGCACAGTAAATGTAAATAAAAACAGAATTTAGATTGGAAAAGTTTTTAAATGCTGTATTTCCTAAAAAAAATAGAAAAAGACATCACACTAGAGGTTGAGTAGTAACAAATTTAATTGTTTTTTTTTAAATAATATCAAATTTGATATCAGCATCACATATCAAAGATTTTGGCACAGAGGCATAATTCCCACTGTGTTGCATCGCCTCTTTTTATGTCACCGTTAGTGCTCTTCAGCTCTCGCTTCATGTTAATGCAGTACGTGCTGACTGTGGGTTGACATTTTTGAAGTGAAAAAAAAAAATTCCTTTCCTGTAAAAATTGTCATCTGAACGTAGTATAAAAAACGGTCGCAGTTTCCTGGTCTGAAAAACCTGCATTCTTTTTAATGGCTTCTAGGAGGCGATAGAGGTGTTGCAAGAGAAGTTCTGTTCCCATGTGGAAAAACGGCTTTCTACTTGGACTTCTGGAAACAAGTTTCTGCTAAGCTCATGGGCTTAGCATTTAGCATTTCAGGTCATACTGAATAAAGCATTGAGTCTTTTTTGCAAATTTTGGTCAATTTTAGTGTCAGAATGGACGATTGTCCAGGATGTGTCACACAACAACTTGTGCTTGATCAATCTTAGCTACGCCTTTATTCAATGTCCGTACATCTGAATGGGCCGCATATGTTGCTCCAAAACCTTCACGTAGCGTTAAGCATTAACGGTGCCTTCACAGATGTGCAAGTGATCCCTTCCGCATGCTCTAATGTGGCTCATGGGCGCCTTTTGCACACAATCATGTTAGTTAGCTGAGAGGTGTTCCACCAGGTGGTGTTTTGCGGGTTGCAAAGATTTTCTAGCTTTGTTCTTCTGGTCTGACCCATTTTTTTAAGTTGTTTTTTAACTGTGTTGCTAAAGATAAACAACTAAATAATTAAAAATGAGCATATTGTTCAAAAAGTAATAAGAAATATCAGTCTTTATCTGATCTGATCCGATCCTCCTTATAGAGGCCAATCCCAAAAGTAAGGTCTCCTATTTTGTATTTCCTATGTATTTCAAAAACAATAGGAGACCTTACTTTTGGGGTTGCCCTCGTACATCAGTTTCATGTGGGGCTGAAACGATTCTGATGATTATTATATTTTGCTTTTATTTACATTTTACACACTGCCCCAACTTTTCTGGAAACGGCGACACCAAAGTAAAGTTCTGTGATAATTTACATTTTTATGCTATAAAATCACAACTGTAAAGGCTCCAGGGTCTGCTTGGACTTTGTCAGATATAAACCAGTTGCTACATTTTGCCGCTTCATTTTTAGCCACTGGACAGCAACAGTGTTTTGTTTTTTATCCTTCTGCAGGTGTGACAGCATAGAGAAGCTAAAAGCTCAGCTGCCTAAGATAGAGCAAGAATTAAAGGACTCAAGGAAATTTAAGGACTTCTACCAGTTTACATTTAATTTTGCAAAGAATCCTGGCCAGAAAGGTTTGGGTAAGAATCCTTTTAATGCTCATTGGCTGTTTTTGTTTTCTTGGTTGAATTTCTTTTGATTGAATACTGTTTTTCTTACAGATTTAGAAATGGCAATTGCATATTGGAATTTAGTTCTTCCGGGAAGATTCAAGTTCCTGGACCTGTGGAACAAATTTTTAGTTGTAAGTTTACAATAAATAAATCATAACAAGGCTATGCTAAGTACGCAGGTATCATCGTTTCTCAGAAATAAACTTTGCTCCTCATCCTTTGCAGGAACACCATAAAAGATCGATTCCTAAGGACACTTGGAATCTCTTACTAGACTTCAGCACGATGATCACGGACGACATGTCGAATTACGACGAGGAAGGTTTGTAGATTTCTTGTTGGCAGTCATGTCTTGAAACGTGTTATTCAGAGTCAAATCGCTGAATCTGTTTTGCTTCTTCGATAGGAGCGTGGCCCGTCCTTATTGACGATTTTGTGGAGTTTGCGCGACCACACATCGGAACCAAAAGCACTGCAGTTTAAGGTCCGCTCTCACTGAAGTAACAGCCATGAGAGGTTTCTACAAAATCAGTGACTGGAGGACAGTGGAGTCACGCTGAGCTGGGAACTATGTTGCCTTTTCAACCCTCAGGACTGAAATATTTTACACAGCAGAGACTTTATATATATTATGTGTATGTACAAAAGGCATATCCGTTTGTTAGTTAACACGTGATAGTTTGAAACTTTTATCTAAAGTATTGGGCTTTTGTGTGCGCTCAAGCCAACTAGAGAGGAGTCTCCATTTGATCCCACGTGGGTCTCTGATGTGGTTGCACTCCGATACAGGTAGATATACACACTTGAACTGTAATGTAAACACAAGGGTTTGCAAAGAGGATGTTGTTCTTTAAATACTGAATTTTAATACTAGTGTGCATTTCCTGATTTTGGTTTTATGATATGTTTGTGTTACAAGTCAGTATCAAACATTGATTGTAATTTTTTAAATCATAATGCTGTTTGTTTAAACATGAATGCGTAAGGATAAAATAAATAATTCAGTTTGGTCTCTTTAAAGTTGCCAAGCTTCTGTGCATTTATACTTAGAAAGAGAAAATGAGACATTGAAAGTCAGTCTCTGTTTGGTTTATTGCCAAATACCCTCATTAACCTTTAGAAATGTCTTAATGTTTTATGGCACAAATCCAACAAGGTGCTAGAAACATTCCTCGAAGATTTTCATCAGGATTGACATGACGGCATGACAAAGATTTGCTGGCTTGATGATGAGAATCTCCTGTTCCACCACATTCCACTGGACTGAGTTGAGGTCATTTGAGTACAGTGAACTCATTGTGGTGTTCATGAAACCAGTTTGAGTCCAGGCAGTCTTTCTCATTGAACTGTAGCCAAAATTTCCTGTTACTGGCTGACGAGAGGCACCTGCTGTGGTCTAATGCTGCTGTAGCTCATGTAGTTTAAAGCTAGATGTGTTGTATGTTCAGAGTTGCTCTTCTGTACACCTTTGTTGTAACAAGGGGTTATTTGAGTTATTGTTGCTTTTCTATCAGCTGAAAACAATCTGGCCATTCTCCCATGACCTCTGACTTCAACGAGGCAGAGAACTGCTGCTCACTGGATATTTTCTCAGTAGATCAGCAGTTTCTGTAATGCTCGGACCAGCCTGTCTGGCACCAACAGACATGTCGCATTGAGAGTCACTTTAGTCCCCATTTTGATGCTTAGTTTTAACTTCAGTAGGCTGTCTTGACCATGTCTACATGATAAAATGCATTGAGTTGCTAGTATGTGATTGGCTGATTTTTAAATATTTACATTAAGGAGCAAATTTGATATGTGATGCCATGTTTTATGATCGGCAGGTTAATGTCCCCATAACTAATAGAAGCTTCTTTAAGTTTGAGGTTGTTACAACTTAACGGACCTGTGGTTTTAGGTAAATCCAACTGATTCTCATACAGCTGTTTCCTAAAATAGTAATTAATCAGTTAGAGAATTAGAGAGGTAGGCTATAATATGCTTAGTTGAAACGGGTCATTGGATTTTGTATTATTCTTTTAACATCACTGATGGAGATGTCAACTGAGATGGCAATTCAAGCAGAAGCTGAAGCACATCTCAAAGAGGAAGAGAAGTGATAAAAATGGAAACAAATTTGACGTCACTTTTCATTTAGTTAATTCAGAAGATCATTTTCTTTATATGCAAGTTTCATTCTACATATTCAAACTTCATTCCATATATTCAAGTGTACTTCTATGGGTGCTCGCTGTTTCACTGTAGTCTCGCGTTATTTACTTCCGTTGACGCGTTTATATGGATGCGTGGTTGCTACGGGCGACTGACAACAGACGGCAACAGCGGAACAGCTAAAAGCTGGAGTTGACACTATCTTAGTGGAAATAAGTATTACTTTAACCCCCCCCAGAAAGGCTGTCTTAATCAGAATAAGATGTCTAGCACTAACACAGCTCTGCCTGACACAGGCTGGGATGAGCACTTTGCTATCCCCGAGCCCAACGCTGAAAACAAGGCTCTGCTGGAGGAGGTGAGTGTGGGAAAGTAGTAACTGTTTATCTCACCGCTAAACAAATAGTTTTAGTAAGTGAAGTAATCTAAAGTGTCAAACAAATCTAACAGAGGAATCCGGGATCTCTGAACGAGCCTCTGAATGACTGTAATGCTCACAACGTAAAATAAATTCTGCTTGGGGTCTCATGCTTTGTTGTCAGGTCTGTTTGCGTCCTCTCTGACTTTACGACAAAAACGCCAGAATATATCGTATATACGGTGCACAATGTAATAGAGAATATGCTTGTTTTGAGGCTATATTGACGCTGTAAGTATCTAGACCAGAAGGGTCAGACCACTTTATACATTATGCTTTTTATATATTTTTAACCCCCCCCCCCCCCTCGGGATTTTTGATTTCTCTAAGTTCAAATAGTAAGTTCTCTGCTGAGCAACAGCAATGATTGAAATCAAAATCCGAAACACCCTTTATAGTGGAAAGGCTCTTTGGGTCCCATTTTTTTTAAGCCATCACCAGAGTATTATTCTTGATCAGTTATTTTTCCTCCTTCAATGAACGAGCAATTTATGTTTATCTAAAACAGAGGAAGGACAGCTAATGTGTTAATAAATGCAGTTTTACAAATACACTCAACAAAAATATAAACGCAA